TCCTCCTTCCATCCTCTCCTCCTGTGTCTGCCCCACCCACACTTCCAGCAAGCCTTGTGTATTCTTTCCCCCCCTCTCTCTCTCTCTCTCCCCCCTCCACCCCCTCTCTCTCCCCCTCCCTCTCTCTCTCTCTCTTCCCCCATCTCTCTCTCCTCCCTCCCCTCCCTCTCTCTCTCCCCCTCTCCCCCCCCTCTCTCCCCCCCCTCTCCCCCCCTCCCTCCCCCTCTCTCTCTCCCCTCCCCCCTCTCCCCCTCCCTCTCTCCCCCCCCCTCCTCTCTCTCTTCCCCCTCCCTCTCCCTTTCTCTCTCCCCCCTCTCTCTCTTCGCCCCCCCTCCCCTCTCTCTCCTCTCTCTCCCTCCCCCTCTCTCTCCCCCCCCTTCTCTACCCCCCCCCTCTCTTTCCCCCTCTCTTCTTCTCTCTCCCCCTCCCCCCCTTTCCCCCTCTCCCTCCCTCCCTCTCTCTTCCCCCCTCCCCCCCCCCCCTCTCCCCCCCTCTCTTCTCCCCCTTTCTCTCTTCCCATATCTCTCTCCGTCTCTCTCTTCCCCCCCCTCCCCCTCCCCCCCTCCTCTCTCTCTTCCCGCTCTCTCTCCCTGTCCCCCCTCTCTATTTTCCCCCCTTCTCTCTTTCCCTCTCCTCTCTTCCTTTCCCCTCTCTCCCTCTATCTCCCCTCTCTCTCTACCTCCCCCCCATCCTCCCCCTCTCCCTCTATTCTCTCTCTCTCCCCCCCCCCCCTCTCTCTCCCCCTCTCTCTCCTCTCTTTCTCCCCCCTCCCCCCCCTCTTCTCTCCCCCACTCTCTTCTTTCCCCTCCCTCCTCTCTCTCCCTCATCTCTCTCTCCTCCCTCCCTCCCCCTCTCTCACCCCCCCTCTCTCTCTCTCCCTCATCTATCTCTCCCTCTGTTATCTCCCTCTCTTCTCTCTCCCTCTTCTCTTCTCTCTTCCCCCCCTCCCTCTCCCTCTCTCTCTCCCCCCCCCCCTCCTCTCACTCTCCCCCCCTCCCTCCTCCTCTCTTTCTCCCCCTTCCTCTCTCTTCCCTCCCTCCCTCCTTCCTCTCTTTTTCTCCACCCTCCCCCCCATCTTCCTCTTTCTCCCCCCTCTCTTCTCCCCCCCCCTCTCTCTTCTCTCTCCCCTCTCTCTCTTCTCTCTCTCTCTCTCTTCTCTCACTCCCCCTTCTCCTCCCTCTCTTTCCCTCCCTCTCTCTTCCCCTGCTCCCCCCTCTCCCTCTCTTCCCCCCCTCTCTCTTTATCTCCTCTCTCTCTCTCTTCTCTCCCTCCCTCCCTCCCATCTCTCTCCTCTCTTCTCTCTCTCATCCCCCCTCCCCCCTCCTCTCTTTCTCAATCATCTCTTTCTCCATCCCTCCGCTCTCTCTCCCTCCTCTCTCTCTCTCCCTCCTCTCCCATCTCTCTCCCCTCCTTCCCTCCACCCCTCTCTCTCTCCCTCCTCTCTCTCTCCTCTCTCTTCTCCCCTCTCTCCCCCCTCTCTTCTCTCTCTTCCCACTCTTCCCTCTCCTCTCTTCTCTCTCTCTCCCTCCTCTCTCTCCCTCCTGCATCTCTCTCTCCCTCCGTCCCCCCTCTCTCCCTCCTCTCTCCCCCTCTCACCTCTCTCTCCCCTCTTTCTCTCCCTTTCTCTTCTCCTCTCTCTTCTATCTCCCCTCTCTCTCTTATCCCCCCTCTCTCTCTCCCCTCTCTCCTCCCCCTCTCCCTCTCTCTTCTATCTCCTCTCTCTTCCCTCTCTCTCTCTTCCCTCCCTCTCTCCTCTAGCTCCCTCCTCTCCTCCCCCCTCCCCCCTCTCTCTCCCTCTCTCTCCTCTCCCTCTCCCTCCTCTCTCTCCCTCCCTCCTCTCTCTCTGATTGGTGTCAGTGGGAGGAATAGTGCCCCATCATTGGTATCAGTGGGAGGAAGTGCCCCATCATTAGTGCCAGTGTGGGAGGAATAGTGCCCCATCATTGGTGTCAGTGGGAGGAATAGTGCCCCATCATTGGTGTCAGCGTGGAAGTAATAGTATCCCATCATTGGAATCAGTGGGAGGAATGGTGCCCCATTGTTGGTGTCAGTGGGAGGAATAGTGCCCCATTATTGATGTCAGTGGGAGGAATAGCGCCCCATTGTTGTCAGTGGGGGGAGCTCTAATAGGAAGAGGTGGAGCTTAAATATGAAGGGGTGGGGTTTACAGATAAAGGGGTGAATCTTAAACAGGAAGGGGTGGGACAAATTTAGATGCGGGGGGGTGCCCGATTTTATTCTTGCCTAGGGCAGCACAAAACCAAAATACATCACTGTGTGTACTTATAATTAAATATCCATGCAAAAAAAAAGAACTTCCCAATGAATTCATAGAAATTTTCATAGAATAGAGAAGAAAACACCCTTCAGGTGAAAAAGTGCTTCCACACCAGCACGCAGATCAAAGGCTTACCAGAAAATTCAGCCTAAACTTGCATAGCTTGGTGCATTGCTGTTGCTTTTATTTGTATAACATATTTATTTAGGTACGAAGAATATGTGCTAGGATCTATTAACTTTTATTTAATAGTATAGTATATAGTATAAATTCTTTTTTTTAATGGGCATTAAAGGGCTTTGTGAGCAGTATTTGGATATTGTGTCACTGGAGATTGTAGGCCCTATATTTGAGTATATAGATCAGATATCCACTGCATGACTTGTGAATAAGGATGAACAACATAAATAAGATGTCAATTTAGTGACATGTTTTTGTGAATGAAAATCAACGACCTGGGATAATTTCAAAGTTAAATAGTTGATACTCATATTATATGTATACCTGATGACTTTCCATAGACCTAAAGGGTACTCCACTTTCGTGGATTTCGAAAAAATTGGCAAAAAATAAATAAATAAATAAATACATTACGTCATATTGTAATTGCATGTTATTAAAAATTATCTTTCCCTTTCAATCTATAGTGCTGTCATTCTTTGGTAAATTCAATGCAATATGACTACCTGGAGGTGTTCTGTAACTCAACCCCGTACACATTCTGTAAAACGTAATTTTCTGCTTGTGTGCTTGGCAGATTTTTGGCATCCCCTGCAACAAAAATTTCATTTTTCGTGGGATACTCCTTATGGGAAATCACGTCTAAAGGGATGCAGACCCTGCAATTTTCCTCATTAGAGCCCTGCAGCTTCTGCAGCTGATTGATAATTATAAAGCCACACCCATACAGATTCACTCTGCACATGGCACAGACAAACAAACAGCTGCTTCTTCAGAATAACAAAAGGTAGGAATCTGCAATAAAGTTTGTTAAAATCCTTGCAATGTTTATAGATCACCCAGTGGGGAATGTTTTTCTCAACAAAAGTGGGGTTACTCTAAGTATTCTAGGAAAGAGATATAGACTGCATAAATGGAGGGATGGAGCTAATAAAGTATGTTTTGTTTTAGAGATGATTTAGCTGGTGAAGGTCTGATTAATGGGATAATATAATAATATATTTTTTATGTTTTCAGTGATGGTTCTTATCATTTTCAATTTTGAAGGTTTGGATAATGCAATCTGTTCTGAATAACAATTCTACCAACCTTATTTGCACTTTGCATTACAATATCCTCAGTGGCTTGTACTGTAGGTTTATATGGCTTTTCTACAAAAGTAAAGGCAGGTTTGAAGAGCTAGTATGTAATGAGATTTTAGCATTTTCTGGAATCCCTCTATGGTAGCAATGTGAAACAATCAATATACCATCCTTTGCCTTAAGATAAGGTATACAGTGGAGGAGATTTACTAAAACTGGAGCACTCAGAGTCTGGTACAGCTGAGTATGATAGCCAATCAGCTTCTAACACCAGCTTGTTCAGTTAAGCCTTGACAATAAAACCTGGATGCTGATTGGTTTCTATTCAGAGCTGCACCAGATTTTTCAAGCTCCAGTTATAGTAAATCTCCCCTATTTGGAAGTTTCTTTACGGGAGTTTGACAAAATGTTTCTACAAAATTATTTATGTCAGAGTCTTCAGTTTGAACAAATGCAACTGTTTTTTAGGGTTCTTAATCAGTAAAAAGTAAAATGCTAACCACTGAATTCTATGTGATTTTTTTTGTAGTTTTCCTTTATGGTGCACCCTTAATGTTTTGAAGAAACCATTCAGCCATTCATTTTCAAAATGTTCCATATACTTAATTTGAAATATGGGTTAGGTTTCACTAAGTGTTACATTTTGTTTTTTAATATATGAATAAATTCAGGTTTGACAAAACAAGTAACAAGTAAGGGGTGTATATATATATATATATATATTTTTTTTTTTTTTGCATATCTCACTATAATATTTTGTGTTGCTACAAAAAAGCCTTCCATTTGGGGTTGTTGATTTGACATTTACTTATTTTTTCCAAAATATTTTTTTTTTCAAAAAATATTTTATTAACCACTTCAAGACCGGACACTTTTACCCCCTTCCTGACCAGGGCAATTTTCAGCTTTCAGCGCTATCACGCTTTGAATGACAATTACGTGGTCATGCACGCTGGTGTACCCAAATGAATTTTTTACCATTTTTTTAAACAGATAAAGCTTTATTTTGGTGGTATTTATTCACCGCTGGGATTTTTATTTTTTTTTTGCTATGTAAATGAAAAAGTCCAAAAATTTTGAAAAAAAAGTGTTTTTTTAAATAAAATTTTGCAAATAAATAATATTTCATCATAAATCTTTCCCAAAATTTATTCCGTTATCTTTTTAGTAAAAAAAAAAAATCCAAATTAGTTTATAACAAAAATTATAATTTTTAAAAATTTGTTTTATATTTTTATTTTATTTTTTTTATATTATTTTTTATTTTTATTTTTTTTTTACATACTGTCACCCTAGCAGTACAGTGTCACCATGGTGACACTGTACTACTTGTGGGGGGTGATGAAGAATTTTTTTTTTTTTTTTTTTACACATTGCTTTTACACCCATATAGGATGTAAAAGCAATCATTTCTCTTTCTCTCTGTGTGCATTCATGCACTCATTGAGAAGTACTCACTGAGCTGTGATTGGTCACAGCTTGTCACATGGTACAAGCCTGTTGTGAATAGGCTTGTACCATGTGACCTCTGTGATCATTCACAGATTTCACACGTAGTAAGCAATGATGTCACAAGTGACATCTTGCTTACTACTTTGCATGTGATCACTGATTGACCAATCAGTGATCACATGATTGGGACCTCGTACAGAGGTCCCGTCCGATGATCGGTGTTTCACTGTGTCCGGAGGACACAGGGGGCACCGGATCGCGGGAGCGCGCACAAGCAGGGTGCGGGGAGGCCGTTTATAGATGGCCACCCGACCCTGCACTGCCACCGTCCGGCCGTTTATATGCAACGGCCGGTCGGGAAGTGGTTAAAGAATAAGGCATAGCAAAGCAAATACAACTACAGATCGCAGTCCAAGAATAGACACAATAAACAGCTTCCCGTATCGCAGACGGGTCAGACATGTAGATTACAATGCAATCCTAACGTAACAATGCAGTAAGACAGGTGTATATTACATATCTGCAGATATGAAGAGTTTACTAGATGAGGTAATGTAGATAGTAAAGGGAACTGACCCATGTAATAATGAGCTTTTATGATGAGGGGGTACGAAGTGTCGGGTTAAGGGTAGCTTTGGAAAGGTTGTGTGTTCTGTGTTGTGTATCCGGATTAGAAAATGTGTGTTACCTAGAAATATTTGCGTCTGTAAGGAAGTAACTGCTATATTCTGTTGAGGAAATGTGGATAATGTGAGTGTTTACTAAAGGAAGAATAAAGATAGGCCTGAGAAAATAGAACAGGTAGAGAAAGAAATGTGAAGTGGTGTAATTGGAGGGGGGGGTGTGTGGAGAGGAAAAAAAAAAACAATAATAATAAATTATTCCTTTACTTCTCACTCATCCCCCCTCCCCTCTCCCCCTCCCTCCCCCAAATATGAATTTGGGGGAAGGAGAAGAAGCAATGGAAGGACAGACAAGTGCTGTCAAATGGATCATATTCTTATGTAGGAGCCGAGCCGGTAAAGTCATCATTTAGTTTGGCAGATAATATGCATATGGACAATCAATAGGGCAAGTTATGGGTCAAACACTCCAACTCCCGTTATGCAACAAGTTTTCAACCCATCTAATTGTAAATCTAAAATCTCCCTAATGAACTGAGCATTCTCTGAAACATCATTATGTATAACCATTCAGTCTGGGGGTCTAGATTGGTCATGTAGTGTTGTGTGGTAGGTAGTGGTGGTTTTGAAGTGACTCCAACATCCCCATGTTTTCCTGAATCTCTTGGGGCGTTAATGCGCCACAGAAATCAGTTTCTCCATTTCCTCAATTTTGTTGATCCTGGTAAACCATTCTCGAATAGTAGGGACATGTGTGGAGCGCCAATGTACTGGGATACACTGTTTTGCTGAGTTTACCATATACAGGGCCAACGATTTACGGTACGTCTTAAAAGGGAGCGAGGAGTGGTGGAGCAAGAATTGTGCGGGAGAGAGGTCTAGAGCGTACGTAGTCACTTGCATAATTATGGTTTGAACTTTTCTCCAGAAGGGTTGTAGCAAAGAGCAGTCCCATCATACATGTAATCTATCTCCTGGTGACATCTCCAACACGAATCCGAGACATTAGGATTGAATTTGTGAAGCAGGGAAGGTACTCTGTATCATCTGGAGTACAGTTTAAAGTTGTTTTCCTGTGTGGAGAGGCAGATGGAACCTTTGTGTATATGTTCATAAATGTGATCCCAGTCTTCTAGTGATAGTCGGAGTTGCAGGTCGAAGCTCCAGGCCCTGCAAGCTTTCCGGGACTGGAGATCAATTGTGTTTTCGAGGTATGTGTATAGCTGGGATACAACATGCCTCTGGAGAGAATCTGTAATGCATAGTTTTTCAAATAGGGTAAGTGGTCTGGTGTAGTCTTTTAGATGTGACGAGCTATGTATAAAGTGGTGGAGTTGTCTGTACATCCACGGCGTCAGGGTCAGAGATGGCCATTTGTTTAGAATGAGGTCTCTGGATAAGAGTGTCTTATCTTTAAAAAGGTGATGTACCCTCAAATTGTCTGTGGAGCTATATCCGGTTAGGAAGGGACTTGACATACCGGGTGGAAAGTCTGGGTTCATTTTAATCGGAGTGAGTGGGCCAGGGGTGGAAGAGAAACCATTTTTCTGAGTCATCTGATAGTAACATAATAGAGTTGGGCCTATGAGAAGATGTGCCCTGAACTCAGGTGGGGTGCGGCTGTTTTTCAGCCAAGGAGCGGTCGCTAGCGGGATCTCTGAAAAGGCCACTTCTAAGGTAACCCAAGCCTTACGGTTGCCATTTGTCTTTTCCAAAATATTTAAACACCTTTGTTCTTTTTTTGGGTTCATGCTTGTCAAGTTCTATTGAGCACAGATGACGCTAAACAACTTTTCAGGGTGTCTCAGCAGCAACAGGAAGTAAAAAAAAAATAACCCAAATTAGTTTATAACCAAAACATTTTTTTTATATTTTTAATTAATTTTTTTATATTATTATTTATGTTTGTTTTTAACATACTGTCACCCTAGCAGTACAGTGTCACCATAGTGACACTGTACTACTTGTGGGGGTGATGAAGATTTTTTTTTTTCCTTTTTTTATACTGATTGCTTTTACACTCATAAAGGCTGTAAAAGCAATAATTTCTCCTCTCTGACTGCATTCTTGCAGCCTTTGAGAAATACTGTGAGAGCTGTGATTGGTCACAGCTTGTCACATGGTACAAGGCTGTTGCAAATAGCCTTGTACCATGTGACCTCTGTGATCATTCACAGATTTCACACTTAGTAAGCAATGATGTCAGGAAGTGACATCTTGTTTACTACTGTTCCTGTGATCACTGATTGGCCAATCAGTGATCACATGAATCGGGACCTCAAACAGAAGTCCCGTACAACGATCAGTGTTCCTCTGTGTCCGGAGGAGCGTGCACAGGCAATGAATGCAGGTGACGTTTAGCGCTCCCTTCTGGCTGTTTATGTACATGGGCTGGACGGGAAGTGGTTAAACATAGTGCATCTACAGTGCTTCAATAACGAATTTACTTGTGCTACAAATGTTTTCTTAATATTTACTATTAATGCAAGTCCTCATTCAGTATATTCCTAATGGTCAGTTTATTATATAAGCAATATTTTATTTAAACAACATGGCAGATTAGATTGCATGGTATTCTGCGTTAAAGTAGTTATAAAGGCTTGACATTTTGTACCTTAATGTATTTCCTACAGTAAGGCAAAATATGTCCCTGTATTTGTATAGCACCCTCACCCCCTGTATGCCTATTTGAGCCCGATCTTGATCCAGCGCTGTGCCTGTCTGCTGCATCTCTCTCCTCACAGAGGCAGAAGTGGGAGCCATTGGCTCCTGCTACTGTCAATCAGATCCAGTGACAAGATAGTGGAGGGTGGGGCTGGGCTAATGGATGCACACAGCCTAGCTTGAGATTGAGCCTGCAGATGTGCCGCCATTGCTTTTCCAATGAGTAGTAAAATTGTGTTGTTTTTTTTTTAATGCACTGTCTCAGTCAACTGTGTTTTACTCCTCATCTCCTAAGGCAGAATTGTATAGCCTATGGAAAGCACATCTCAAATGTATCATCAATGTACAGTATATAGTGCAACTAAAAGCATGATAAATTTGCCTAGCTTCTGAGTTTGATATTACAACCGCTGCTTATTGGTTGTGGAAAAGGGAGGACATGAAAACTGAGAATGAGAGCATGAATGTGTGAAAGAATACCAGACACTGAAAACTATGCAAATTTCTGTGGCACAGACAAAAGCTCACAGATGTGTGAATGAGTATGAACTGGGTAGAGTAAATTGGATCACTCAGGTTTATATATGATGTGTTTTTGGATCAACAACATTGTGATTAAAGGAATTCAAATAAATATTTATATATAACAACAGTGGCGGACTGACAACTCATGGGGCCCCCGGGCAATAGCGGATCATGGGGCCCCTGTGTCCTTGCCCACACTCAAACCACACCCAAAAAAGCCTATGAAAGGTACCAGGGGAATCTCATGGGGCCCCTTACTGACCCCGGGCCCTTGGGCAGTTTGCGAATGGTCAGTCCGCCCCTGTATAACAAATATATACACTATACAGTATAATATAACATTGAAAACCCACATACATTTTTTTTTTTAATTGAGCTAACATGCTTAGCTTTTAAAATGTTCTTCTAAAAAGTTTTCATTGGAATAATAGAAATCTGTTAATAAACCAGGAAAGAGCAATCTAGGAAATGATATGATGTTTACATGTTGTAAAGTTGCTATGTATTTGATATTATATTTGCAAGGGCAGCATCTAATGCTTAGTTTCCCTTTGCACTTCTACAGTACCTCTTTGTTTTCTAACAGGAATGAGGATAATAATGCATGTGTGAACTGAGAGACAATCCCAGTTGAAACTCAAACAGGGCTAAATGGATCCCATGTGGAGTAAAAGGCAGGTGAACCTTTTCAGGAGGGGGCAGGCGTTAAAAGTTACCATTTTTGCTTTTACAACCATTTACTTTAAGAATAGTATTTAAAACTCTCTATATACATACACTAAAGTTGTATAGGTTGTGAAGTTTAATTATCTGCTTCCATTCAGCCCCATTCCAAACGGGTTAGACAGTTATTTTAATGAAGTTTGCTGATGCACTTTAGTAATTGCTTGTTGCTTCTATAATTCTTTAGAGAATTCTGATAAGTGAATAGTACACTGAAAAACCTGTCAACTATAATGAAATAGAAAACACCTGACAAGGTTTAATGGATGGTGCTGTAGATCTAACACTTGGATCCCCATTGTTCCTGAGACTCGGAACTCTGGAGTGAACAGCTACAACAGAAATTATAACTTTGGGATGACCTTTATTTTCATTCAGCAGAACATACTGTACTGCAGCACAAGGTTTGCGTACTAATTACATTATGGCTGGATAGGGAGGCAATGAAAAAAACAACACTTTCACCAATGTGTGGCTATTTTTCCTTCAAGCATTTCCCTAAATTACTGTGTTCAACTGCAACAAACAGTTATATTAGGAACCCATGTGAATGCATCTCAACATAATTAAAGTGATACGATGGTACAGCATGTTACTTAAGGAATATTAATTTATTATACGCATTCAAAATAGGGAAATTGACAGAAAAAAACAGTTTGTACTGTTTTGAAAAAAGCCTATCTGATATCATCGAGGGTAACTAATTTTAATGTTTCATTAAAGTATTTGTGTCATCATAAATGCCATGTCATATTTTATGACTGTATGCTATTTCATACAGACAAAGCTAGCAGTGCTTATTTTTAACTATTTACAGATTATTGGTTGTCTTTCTACAATGGTTTATGGCAAGGGCATTTTTCATGAACACTGCTGGTGGGAGATTTTAATATTTTAAGACATACAGCCATTAATTTTGCAAAAAGTCCTAAGCTAAAAGGAAATAATCAGCTAAGAAATTGTATAGCAATGTCTTTCAGAAAAAAAAGGAGAAAAAACAACTACTGGGCATTTGCTTTTACGCCCTGTCAATCCAACTGTTCATCAACTGCCTCACAGTCTATAGAAATGTTGCAATGGGATTTGAGAAGGCAAAACAGTTTTTGCTGTAAATTATTGTAATGAGAGTTGCACATATTTGTTTCCAATTTATCATATTAATTGTAAGGAAGTCACGTTCAAACAAAACAAATGACCTGGGAGTTAATTATAGCAAATGCAAATTTTGAAATTCAATAGTGATTAGCAAAAACTTAAAAATGTGTATTTGGCTATGCTAGACATCAATATGCGCAAGTCACAAAAGGTCTATTACTATTGTAATGCGTGAACTTTGCAATTTTTCTTCAGTTTAGCCAGATTTGCTGAAAATAACTACTTATTAATTGTCTGTTATAAGTCCTGAATTTATATCTGTCAGCTTTTGTTACCCTTTCTCTGATGGAAGGTAGAATTAGTTTTTTAAGTATGGAGGAATTTTTTTTCTGCTGCATTTTCTTTTCTTTTAATAAATAATTTAGAAAACGTTCAGTATGAGACAGTATACAGTAATCATACGGGTTATGGTGAGAATGGACTAAAAGAATCAAAAAGCACTCAACTCTAATCAGTGCATAGCCCAGTAAAACCTTATTAAAACAAAAGGTATTTATGTATTTTTCATCTTATTACACATCAAAAAAAAATATTCTTATTATTTTAGGACAGTGCATACTGTGCTGATGATGGCCAAATAGTCTGAAACAGTTATATTCAGTTTGGAATAAATGGCTCTATAACATTAGGTTGTATTTGCAATTGTCAGAGATGGGAGATCATATCCATTTGAAACAGTGATGACCAGGGATCAAGGGAGTATAATGCTGGCCATACAATATACAATTTTCCAGTTCAATTTCCTTTAGATTTTTCTTCAACTATGTAGTGCCTGTCTGATTGCATACAAATTGAAAGTGTTTAGGTTTGACCTCATATTATATGGTTTTGGTAAATCTAAAGGGAAATTGTACAAGAAAATTGTATAGTATGGCCAGCCTAACTGGAGGTACATGGAAGTACAGGGCTTACAAGAAATACTGTGAGATATAAATACCTCAAAGGTCAGCGAGGAACACTGGAAGCCTGGTCCACAGAATGACAGATGGCAATCTGGAAACCTGATGGGACACATGGAGACGAGGCATGGCAGCAAAGCTGATGTGACAGTGGGTACTGGGGAGGCAGAATTCCCCAAAGAGGAACAGGACTCAGAATGCCTGCACATTCAATGAAGGTGAGAGTCATAAAAATGGCCAAGGTGCAGAGTTTATGAAAATAGCTGGCTTTCAACAGAGCACCCTACAAGAGGTTATGGGCTTTGCCATAAAATAGATCCCAGGCTGTGGCCCACTGACTAACCCAGTCAACAGAGTAGAGATGCACAGGAGAGATTGATTGAGAATACTGGAGTTCTGGGGTCATGGGAACACAACTGAGAGCCACTAGAAGCACAGGGATCATAGAAATATAAGTAATAGTCTCTGGGATCATTGGGGTGCTCTATTTACAGAAACACATGAGCAGGAATGCTGGAAACTCATTGGAAATACATAGGGGCACACTGGACACTTGAAATATGGCACATACTATAAATTATGATTTAATTTATAAATTGGCCAATTTGTGATTTATTTTGACATATCCTTTAGACTTTTTTGTATTGTCTTGTGAATAGTCACTTACACATATGCACTTTGCATTTTTTAGTGTCTGAGTTCAGGGTTTATTTTTATTCAGAGATCCAGGTATCACCGAGGGGCGTGACAAGTTTTTCTGACACCAAGAGAAAAATAGTGATGGGGAGTGACCTCCAGCTGGTTGACAGACTCTGTTCCTGTGTGCTGTATGAAGGGTGTCCCTTCCCTCCAATCAGTTCTGAGAGCTCTCCCCACTGAGTATGTAATTTCATCTCTCCACCCCCTTTTTTCTGAACTCTCAGACAAGCTTTATACATTCAGCACTTTGAATGGATGTAGAGAAGACTGCAGATACACAGTTACAACTTGTTTAGGGGAATTTGTTTCATCTCTGTGGATCACCACTGTCCCTTCACTGAGTATGTGTAATGATTTATAACCACTTTAAGCCTTTACTTTTCACCTGCTACTGGAATACTTTGAAAGTTGAGGATCCAAAATCTCATAAGAAAATGCTCCAGCACTGTACACGAGTATCTTCTCATGAGATTTAAGATTTAGAATTCAATGACTGCTTCAGACTCGTAAAGCCTCAAACAGAAATGGGGACTTTATTGGTGATTTATCGCTGAATTCCAGCCATAATTTCAGTCTTCCACAAGTTTAAAGGCTCCTGTTCTGTACTGAAATTGCTTACTCTTATTTAACTGCACAATGTGAGCTTCTCACAGTATGCATTGGAAACTGCAGAACGTCCGAAATAGCCTGCCTAA